ATTTAAAATTGATAAATTTATTTTATTATTTATAATTAGTGTAAATATAAAAATAGAAGATTAAAAATAAATATTATTATTAACAAATATGTTAAAATTGAAAATATATGAAATATCTCAAATTGGTTATCTTATGCCACTTTTTAATGCATGCATATTTTTAATTATAAGGTAGCTCAAATTTTAAGTAATGCTTGGTAAATTATTTTAAGTATAATTATTTTTAAAAATAATTAAGATTAATTTTTAGATATATTTTATTATTATTGGCAATTAATTATTAATAATCAATGTATTATTTAGAATTATTTTTTTAAATACACTATTTATAATTAATTGGTTAATGACATATTTTGTAAATAATTTAATTAAAAAGCAAAGGAAAAAATTATCTAAGTTTTAGTGAATTTTAAAGTCACATTTCATTATTTTTAAATATTAATTAAAACAATAAATAGGTATTCTAATATTTTTATTTGTATTCCCCTTTTAAGATTCCATACAAATTATTGTTGATAATTATTCTATTAATTTATTATTTTATTAATTAAACATTTTTTTGAGGTATTGACGTAGATGATTGTTTTTTTAAACAATAAGAACATGAGCTTGGTAATTGATATATATTTTAAACAAATATTTCTAAATAAAATTGCTAAAAAAACATTCCAAATAAAAAATATACTAATTATAAAAAATCAATAGTAACAAAAAAAAAATCTAACTATAGACTCGTCTTTTAGAAATATATACTAATTACCACGGAGCTACGCTCGCTTTGACATTGATTAATATGTTTYAAAGAATACTGCATTTTCAATTATTTTTATAAAATATTATTTAGGTTAAATTATAAGTTTTTTAACTTAAATTTATGGAGTTGTGTCTAAGAGTTTGACGTACCTTTTCTTTTAATTAAAATACTTATGTATTTGGTCACATTTTTTGAAAAGTGAGTTCAATTACAAGTTTGTTTAGTTACACTGGAGAGCAAAATCTGCACTACCACGTGGATCAATAATAATAGGTCATACCACTTAACTTACCCTATACTTACTCAGAATATATTATATGTAGTAGCCAAGTTAAGTACCTCTTCAATGGTCAACCTTTGTAGCTCAGAATTCGAGCTAGCACGTCTCTTCGACCTACTGCGTGTAACCATCTATAATTGTGTAACCACACTTTTTGGAACGGCCATAACAGAACGGTCCCCCTTCTCATCTGCCTATAAAGGACTTTCACTCTTTGTTCTTAGGTATGCAATTCAGTTTGAAACTTACTTACTCAAATCGAGTCATTGACTAACTTGAGCCTCTAAGTGTTTGTTCTTTCTGTGCAAGTCCCCTCAAGTATAGCTTGCTTCGTTTAGATTTGAGTCTTCCCAAAATTAACACAACACGCTGCATATGTAAAAAGGTGATTCTATAAATATCAAATTATCATAAGTAATTCTTAAATGATTTATGGTCTAAGTTACTTTTATTATTATTATTATTTTTGTTTTTTTTAGGAATGAACCTTAATTGATTATTAAAAAAAACAAGCTGATGGTGTGTTTGGAAATGATTTTAGCATGGCAAAAGTCATTTCAAAATCACTTTCCTTTCTGTTGACTGTGTTTGACAAATTAGAAAACTGATTTTAGGAAATTTTAAAATCACTTTAAATTGATTTTTAAAGTATCACTTGTTTATTCTGATTTTGAAAAATCAATTATACTTAAATATCTTTTTCAAAAATCAGTCATTCTACTATCGCTTTCAAAGACACCCTAATTTGATTACTTAAAAAATGATTTTTGTTTGTAACCAAACCATTTAAACTTAAAGTATATACTTTTAGTCCTCCAAAAAGCATTTAGGTCACATTTGATAATCATTTCGTTTTATATTTTTTGTTTTTAAAAATTAAGCTTAGAAATGTTACTTTCACCTATATATTCTTTTGATTTGTTATATAGTTTTAATAAACATTTTCAGAATTTAGGCTAAATTTTGAAAACAAACCAAAGTAGTTCTCAAAAATAAAAAATAAACAAATTTGTTTTTTGAAATTTGTCTAAAAATTCAAATATGATTTCAAGAGAGGTGAAAAACATACTAACGAAAGTATACAAAAACAAGTATAATTTTTTTAAAAGCACAAAACTAAATAAAAACAAAATGGTTATTAAACACAATAACATTGAAAGTTTATAGATTTATTAGAAATTTTTTAAAATATAGAAACATATTAAAAATATATTTTTATAAATATTTTAAAAACTTATGCTACCCAAATTTATATAAATCATTTATATAGGCAATCTAATTTAAAGGTTTGATCCCAACTTCGAATTACAAAAGATAAATAAATAATTGTGTGGTGCTCTAAAAATTGATAGATAAATAAATGAAACTCTTTGTATTGTATTGAATAGATGTGACACATGTCCACCGGTTTGTTATTATTAAATATCAGGTAGTCCACGTGGACTGGAGCCGTACTAAAAAATAAAGAAAAATAAAAAGAAAAAAAGTTGATGTGGAGAACCATTGGCCATAAATAATAAATGGACTGATGTTTTCAGTTGAAAAAATATATACAGAAGATAGTCGTTTGAAGCAAAAACAACCTATTGAAATTCTTTTCAAATTTGATGTAAGCTAGCTCGATTAGATGGGTCGATTGATTGTATTTGATTTTTATTACGATTAGACTATTTCATTTCGTGAGCAGGATGAGACCTATGATTCAAAAATTTAAATTAATTTTCTCACATTTTTACAATGATCGTTGATGCAAGATCAAGTCGAGGTACAGAAGACGACTTCGAAGGTTGGCCGGCGACATTTGGGACGATTCTCCAGGTACTTGCAAGGAGGCAGACCACTCCGATGCCCAAGTTAGTGTTCCAGCCGAACTAGATATATGTAAGCATCAGACAAATTCCGTACCTAGAGTCATGGACGAATGATGTATTTATAGCGGTAGTTGGGTAAATACACATCTCATCGGTACAATCCGGTGCTCGGGGAGGGGCTTGCTAAATACCCGTTGGTCACCAGCAGTGAACGGTCTGATTCCCGCTCCAAAGGACGAGGGGACGCGGCCGCCCTATTCGTACAAGTCACCGAGAAATCGACCTCCCCAGGTTGGCTCTCCGAGCCTCACCACGTCCAGGTCGGCCGTGTGTAGTTATCCCCCAACAATGATCATGCGACCACGACAAAAATGTTGAAGTTGTGACTTTGAAAAATTATCCAAACAATTAAAACTGATTGCACCCATATTTATTTGATAATTCATGTAATAATGTCATCATAGATCGATTTTTTTTAGTGAGAGATGAGGCAAAGATCGCGAGTCTCCATCGTAGATCGATTTTAGAACATGTAAACTCGTTGAATGTTATCAAATTAATTCAATATTTATGAAGTTAATATTTTGAAAAACTTCCATCATACAATATTTTTACGTGTATATTGTGCCTCCAAATCAAATTTCTGGAACCATCACTGTTAGCATCCTCCTCGCGTAAAATTTTATATCCGTCACTACTCATAAATTTCACTCACACCTCAAAATGAATCTAAAACAATACCGAAAATTAGTTTGGGATGGTTCGAAAAATGCAAGGTTGTTTGTTTAAATCAAATTTATAGTCAAATATATGAATCTTGTGGAAGAAAAAATCAATTGAATGTTTTCTTTTGACATAAAATGTTTGTTTTTACTCTTTAGTATGGATTCCACAAGAATACGGAACTTGATGTTAACATCAATCGTAGTCTCTTTGCTTGGTCTTCCAATAGTTGAATGTTTACGTCAACCATTGAACATGAAATTGGTTGGAGAAAAAAAAAATCAATGAAAGCTAAAATTGGATTTTTTTTATTTATTTTTATTTCAACGACACATCGGGTTGGAGATTTAAAGATCTCGCAGATCTTTTTAAAAGTTGAAGAGACCACTTAAAATTTAATAGAAATAATTTAAAAGTTTAGAATCCCAAAAAATTATAAATGAATTAAATAATTAATTAATTGAAATACTATTTTGGTCTATCTACTTTGAGCTTTGGTTTCTTGTACTTTTAAAAAGTGACAATTTTGGTCTCTTTATTTTATTTTTAATATCGTTTTTTCTAATCACGATTTAACATGACATGACACTACACTCAATATATATATTGAAAAGTAACAATGCTTTTATATTTAAGGGTTTCTGTTAGGTGTAAAATTTGTTTTTAAATTTTATAAATATGGATCAAAATAGTCATGGACCAGAGTACGAAGATTAAAATGAACCAAAGTTAAAAATATAGAGATGAAAATGAACATTTCGAAAGTATACGGACCCAAAATGAATCAAAACTCAAAGTACAGAGACCAAAATAGTATTTTAACGTTATTAATTTATTATATCATAATTCAAAATTTTAGAAATCGTTGCATAATAATTTTAATTATGGACCAAAATAACCAAAATAGTATTTAATTCAATCTAGATTCAAATCTCTAGAATGACAGATAATTTTCGAGGGATTTACTTAATATCCCGGGGAAATAATTTAAAAGTTAGTCTTCTCAAAATTCATAAATGAATTAAATTATTAATTCAATACATCATAATTTTCATGTGATAATTCCAGAAGCCTCACTCCAACCCAAGTGTCGGAGTTGTATATGAACTTTGTGTTACAAATTTGCAAATATAAATATTAAAATTAAATAAATAAAAATTAAGATTACGATAACCAAAATCGAAAAATACATGAACCAAAAGAGCATTTTAATTTCGAAAAAGATTGAGATATTTGTATTAATTGAACAAATTATTGGATTGGTTAATTTCGCTTTCAAGAAAGCTGAAATTATTAAACAGAAGACTAAGTCTAGAAAACGATATTCTTTTATTTTTCTTCTTCTTATCTTTCTAATTAATTAGCGGTTTATAAATTAAATAGAAATTTGGTGTGAAGATATGTGTGAGAGATTTGTAGCGATATGTTGTCTGTGAAAACAGAGCTATTTCTTGTGGCTTTCTTCTACCTTGGAGTTCATGCAATCTTCTCCTTTACACACCCAAACGATGGTAAGCTTTTTCCTTTTTCTTTCTTTGTAAAGTGTGGCTTTTTTTTTCCTTTTATATATGTTTGTCAAAAATATTCACGTGTGTGTGACGCTTCCTTTTTCTCCGAGTTTAATTAAGTTGCGGGAGAATTTGAACTTCCAATTATTCGGGAGATAAGCAAAGCTCGTTTGGTAACGTTCGTGTTTCTCGTTTCTTATTTTTCATTATTGTTTATGGTTTTCAATCAAGAAAAAATATAATTGTGTTTGGTATCTTGTTTTGACCATGT